TCCTCCTCCTTCTTTTTCTTGCTTTTTTCAGCCTTGACAACTCCCTTTTTGGCTGCATCAGGCTTTCCTTTAGCTCGATATGCAGCAATATCCTTCCAAAGCAAAGAGAGAAGAAAACAGTAGGAAAGAAAAAAACATTAAGGGAAGAAATAGAACATGGCAAAACTGTATGAACGAAATCAAGATTTTAGTTATACCAAAATATCACATATCCGCAGATCCACTGCAACTCCAGAAATAACCAGAACTTCAATAAATGCACATAAAAATACCATGAGATCATAACAATCTATAACTCATGAAATGGTACAGTCTAATATTTGCAAAGTTATGCCTCATTGAGGTACAATTATGTACCACATCCTAACTCTATTAAAAGTAGAATATGGAGACTTTGATTAAAGGGTAGACACTGCCACCTTCTGAATGCAAAAAAGCATTCTACAGGTTTACACTGTCAGACCCTAATCCTTAGTGGAAGATGTCTTTAAAAAAAAAAAAAAAGTAATTTGTCAATAAACATGCAATTAGATTAAGAAACATCTAGAAATTGACACTTCAGAATAACTAAAGAAGCTAAAAATTTACTTTAAGTACTTAATATAAGAGTTACAGATTTCCTTATTAATTTACTGGACATCAACAGACTTGAAATTTAACTTAGTGATGTGGTTTTTTGAGTATCTAAAGGAAAGGAAAGTAAGTGTTTCAGGATATGATTAAGAAAAATAGAGCCTATATTAACTTTGTCTGGCTTATTTTTGCATTGTTTGCCAAGCCATGTGATAATAATCATTTTTGACTTGAAGTGACTACCAACATTTTCACAAGCTTCAAGATACTGCGGAATGGTAAAACCAACTTAAATGTATATCCTTTGTCTGAGTCTAATTATATGAAGTAAACCCAATTTATTTGGTACTCTGTATTCTTTGAAGGGTGAGAAAGGACTTATGTCAACAGCATACTTAACGTAGCTATTACACTAAAAGCTCATTGCACCTCAAACTAAGTACAATCATACAACATCTGGTATACTCTTCATCATTCTACCAAGCAAACCCATACTCACCTTTTCGTATTTTTCCTTCAGCTTCGCAGCCTTCTTTTCATAAGGCTGCTTGTCATCCGCAGCAGTGTTATTCCACATCTCTCCCAGTTTCTTCGCAACATCACCAATGGACAGGCCAGGATGTTCTCCTTTGATTTTTGGGCGATACTCAGAGCAGAACAGGAAAAAGGCCGAACTAAAAAAAAATAACTTCAATTTTAGGATTTTAAGTTAACAGACCATAAAAACAAATACTACCAAATGTACACTGCACTGCTATTTAAAGCTGCCTGTGAATTTCTATGATGCACTGGACAGGGTGCAAATACTATAATACGCTAAATATCCTTCATAACTAAAGCTTAACTTACAACTATTTAATTTATACTAGCTAGGGCCCCAGATGAACACCCTGCAATTATATTACTTCAGAGAGAGAATTTTTCAAGAAATAAAAGGATCAAAAGGAGAAAGGGGTAAAGGGGACCATGTCTAATTCAAATGCTTGGACGAACACTCCCACCCAACAGGAATTTTATGTATACTATTTAAATATAACCTGCATGAACAAGTATTAGCTAAGAAACTTTGATTGTACACTTACACTCTAAACTGACACAGTTGCTTACTAAATGTCTCTCAGATTCTACTGTATAAAACATGTCTAGGAAATAAAAACAGGCAAGATACTCACGGAGGCCTCTTGGGTGCATTGGGATCCTTGAACTTCTTTTTTGTCTCCCCTTTAGGAGGAATATAGGTTTTCATTTCTCTCTCATAACGGGCCTTATCCGCCTTTGCCATATCTTCAAATTTTCCTTTCTCTTTAGCAGACATGGTCTACAAAAGAATTATTTGTAAATTTAAGTTGTAAAATTTAAATAAATTATCCTCAAAACCAATGTCTTTTACTATGTAATAGGGTCATACGAAAGCCAGCTAGGCTTTTATTTTCATCCTCATTTGGAAATTGCCTTTTAATTACCTTGTTAGCATGCTCTAAGCCCTCTTACCTTCCACCTCTCTGAGCACTTCTTAGAAAACTCTGAGAAGTTGACTGAAGCATCTGGGTGCTTCTTCTTATGCTCCTCCCGACAAGTTTGCACAAAAAATGCATATGATGACATTTTGCCTCTCGGCTTCTTAGGATCTCCTTTGCCCATGTTTAATTATTTTTCTAAAAAATAAGATAAACATTTGATGTTAGCAATGAAAATTATGACACCTAAGAAGCTTAAAGTACTTAGGAAGGGAATGAAAATCAAGGTACTGGTTATTTAACACAGTAGTGACATCAACCTCCGTAAAACCAGACAAGAATATGGAAGACAGATTAAATTCCTTGAAGGGGCTATGCCAAGCAAAAACAAAACAAAACAAAAAAGGTACTTCAGGGTGATCTCAGAAAAGTCTAGACGCTAAGACATACCCACATACAGTATTCCCTATCAGCCTGTGTCTGCTCTGAATGAGTATCTAACTGGCCACTTAAACGATTTTAAAATCTAGAACATCATTTTAAACCAACCAAACCAAAGGTCAGAAAATATGCTGCCAATTCGTGGATTTGCACTAGACAGGGAATAAACAAGGGCCTATGAGTCTACTCTTCCTAATTTACGGGGCCTTAAAAAAAAAATCACCGTGCACTAAAAGTTTTAAAAACCACCCTCTCTGCATAAAACTTTGCTCCAAGGAGGGAGCAGCAGCCAGCTCCGGAGCTCGGAACACGGCTGGGGGGTTGGCGGTGCCACCGTGAGGCAGCCTCGTTTCCTATCGGTTTGGCCCTGAGATGTATTTCTGTTCTGACTAAACACGTCCGGTCTGAAGTTTCTCTGAGTAAACAAGGATGAGGGACAAAAGCCACTCCTGCTCGTGGCTCGGTGGCCCCCTCCCCCCACTAGGGAAGTATTTTTTGGAGCAGTCAAAGTTGGGGTGACTCCCGCGCGGGGCGGGCCCCCTGGCCCAGAACTTCGCCTGCGGCGGCGCGGCCGAGAAGACGCGGCGCGGCTCCCAGGCCCGAGGCCGCCACGTGCGCCCGGCAGGCCCCGCAGGCCCGCGCCGCCGCCGCCCCCATTTTGTCAGGCTAGGCGCAGGGAGAAGCCCCGCTCGAAATGGGGGCTGGCTCCGCCCGCGGCGGCCGGGGCCGGCGCGCACGGAATGGCCGCTGCGCGTCTTCTCCGCCTGCGCCGCCGCCGCCGCCGCCGCGAGGGCGAGCGCGAGCGAGAATATGGCTCCTTCCCTTTGTGTATGTGTGTGTGTGAGTGTGTGTGTGTGTGTGTGTGTGTGTGTGTGTGTGAGTGCGAGGGTGCGGGCGCGGCGGCGGCGGCGGCAGCGGCGGGCGGGGTACGCGCCGCGCTCTGGCGCACATACTCGGCCATTACGGCCGGGGGAGGGGCGGGGGGCGCGCGGCCGGGCCCTCCCCTCCGCGCCGCTCCCCTCCCCCCGCCGCGGTGGGGGCCGCCCGAGGGCCCACCCGCCCGCCACTCCCCGTCTCCCTCCGCGCGGGCCGCGCGCCCCGCCGCCCCCGCACGGAGAACGCGGGGCTGTGAAAAGAGAGAGGAAAAAAAAAGTATCATAGATCATCATCTTCATAGTTTTGCTTTC